TATTATTGATAATAAGTCATGTATAAACTCTTCAATTTGTGTCATTTAAATAAGTACATTTTTGCTTCATGACGTCACCGTAGGCACTAGCGGCATTGGGTAAATTACCGATTTCTATGTATTCTGGTAGGTGGTTCGAATAAAATTTATGTTTTACACGCTTGGGGTACGAGGTTCCAACCAACGTTTGGCAATGAATTTTTTGCATTTTTTCTTTTTAAGTTAGTATAAATTTTTAACTCGTTTGATTTTTATCTCATTTAGATTCAATAACTTCAATAAAGATCAAGGATCCCATCACTTTAGTCGCCCCTTGCAAGAAGAAATTTCTTATTCGTATTAAAATTATTTTACTATATTTTAAGTTTTAGCTTCGATGCAAAGCTGAGAAGATATTTTTTTGTGAATATCATTTATTTTCTCTGCTCTAACTTGACCTACTTTTTTCAACGATACGTCAAATGACTACAATTCGTATCTAGTTGAAGATATTACCCTCAAAAATTGAAAAAAAAATTCTAATTTATCAATTAAACTGTTATTTATTACATGTTCTCCATAAAGACAATTAAAATCATTAATTTCTAATGTTTTCAAAATTTTTATTAACCAATGAAGTTTGATATGATAGGTTTCAACTACAAAATTAAATCATTTTACTTTGTAATTTAATATTTTTTTTACTCTATTTGTGTGTGCTACTATTAGACTATAATATTACAAATATTTTTGTAATATGTTGCTATATAAATCATTTCTAAAAAAAAAGATTGTTTTTTCTCCTGATTTTTACAAATATAATCAAATTTTATAATACGCTCAATTGAGTAAATCTCTTTAACAACTTTGTTTTGTTTTGATTGGTTCATTTAGTTAAAGTAAATCATTAAAATTAATTCAGTTCTGGATATTTTAATTGGAGAATCTTTTCAAACAACACAAGTTATTAGGAAATTATTACTATTACTTCTATTTAAGTTATCTATTACCAAAAAAATGCAAACAAATATTGAGCTTTTCTGATAAATTTACAATAAATAGTAATTATAAAACTTTCTGACTGCATATTGATCTTAACGATACAATTTTTTTAATTGTCATAAAATTTTCTATTTAATGATGTCAATGTCAAACTTACCAATTGAGCTAAAAGTTATGGTAAAATAAATTTTTTTTTTTTTTTTAAACATTTACAACAATCAACTTTAAACGATTAACAAAATTGGTTAAATATGTCATTTTCCTTATTTTTAACTTATTAATAATCAAATTAATATTAAATATTATATCAAATCAGTATTAATTTAAAACAATTTTTTTTGTTCTTAATTATTTTTTTTTATATGTAAAAACTATTTTTTAATAATATTAAAACTTAGAAGTTATAGAAAAAGTCTAATTGCACATTTTAAAACATCGCGAAAAGTTGATTTAGAATAGTATATTTTTGTTTCTGATGGAAGTTCCTTGTAGTCCAGTGTATAAAACTTATAACTTTGTTAATTGTTATAACTTTATCAAAAATGACCAAATCAGTATATTTTTTTTTATTTAGATGCATGTCTTTATCTATCATTTGGTTTTTTTTATAAATCTAACCCTTTACCTGCCCACAAGAGGGATTCAAAATATTAACTTTTTTTTTTTTAGTTAAAGTAAATCATTAAAATTAATTCAGTTCTGGATATTTCAATAGTAGAATCTTTTTAAATATCAAAAATTACTTAGAAATGATTACTATGATTTCTATTTAAGTGTTCTATTACGATAAAAATGCAAAAAATATTGAGCTTTTCTGATAAATTTACAATAAATAGTAATTATAAAACTTTCTGACTACATATTGATCTTAACGATACAATTTTTTTAATTGTCATAAAATTTTCCATTTAATGATGTCAATGTCAAACTTGCCAATTGCGCTAACAGTTATGGTAAAATAAATTATTTTTTTTTATTATAAACTTTCACAAAAATCAACTTTAAACGATTAAAAAAATAGATTAAATATGTCATTTTCCTTATTTTTAACTTATTAATAATCAAATTAATATTAAATAAATATTAAATATTATATCAAATCAGTATTAATTTAAAACAATTTTTTTTGTTCTTAATTATTTTTTTTTATATGTAAAAACTATTTTTTAATAATATTAAAACTTAGAAGTTATAGAAAAAGTCTAATTGCACATTTTAAAACATCGCGAAAAGTTGATTTAGAATAGTATATTTTTGTTTCTGATGGAAGTTCCTTGTAGTCCAGTGTATAAAACTTATAACTTTGTTAATTGTTATAACTTTATCAAAAATGACCAAATCAGTATATTTTTTTTTATTTAGATGCATGTCTTTATCTATCATTTGGTTTTTTTTATAAATCTAACCCTTTACCTGCCCACAAGAGGGATTCAAAATATTAACTTTTTTTTTTTTAGTTAAAGTAAATCATTAAAATTAATTCAGTTCTGGATATTTCAATAGTAGAATCTTTTTAAATATCAAAAATTACTTAGAAATGATTACTATGATTTCTATTTAAGTGTTCTATTACGANTTTTTTTTTATTTAGATGCATGTTTTTTCTATCATTTGGTTTTTTTTTATAAATCTAACCCTTTACCTGCCCACAAGAGGGATTCAAAATAATAACTTTTTTTTTTTTAGTTAAAGTAAATCATTAAAATTAATTCAGTTCTGGATATTTCAATTGTAGAATCTTTGTAAATACCAAAAATTACTTAGAAATGCTTACTATGATTTCTATTTAAGTGTTCTATTACGATAAAAATGCAAAAAAATAATGAGTTTTCTGATAAGTATACTGTAAATAGTAATTATAAAATTTTTCATAATTTCATACTAAATTTAAATNATCAAAATCAGTATTAATTTAAAACAATTTTTTTTGTTCTTAATTAATTTTTTTTATATGTAAATACTATTTTTTAATAATATCAAAACTTAAAAGTGATAGAAATAGTCTAATTGCACATTTGAAAACATCACGAAATGTTGATTTAGAATAGTTTATTTTTTCTTCTGATGGAAGTTCCTTGTAGTCCAGTGTATCAAACATATANTCAGGATATAATTAAAGAAATAAGAGTTCATGTTGCTTTTGGAATAATCCACCAATTTCTCTAAATGAAACACTATCTACAGATTTGCATCGAAGAGTTTCTTATGATAGTGATTTCAATCACTGTCAGAAATCATCTATACTTGTCCCATCTATGCCTCGTACACACTGTGCCTCGACCCCACTGTGCTACCGTTTTTTTACATAAGATTTTAAACATTAGGGCCACTATATTGCTCAAAAAGATCTTTCGAGGCTTCATATTTCTTTTTAATTTATAATTTAAAAAATATTTTCTCATTTAGTCTGTAATATTTAGTGTAATAAACATTACAATAAAATACATTACATTACATGTGTATTTCTAAAATAATACTATGATAAAAATACATTTTCTTGTGTGAAACACAAATAATTAATCTAATAAATAAAATTCATAAAAAATTATCAGAGAAATAAAAATTGTTCAAACATAAATGCACAAATTCAAATTATATATTTTTTTTTATTTTATTAATATATTAATAAAACTGAACATGCACCTTATAAGTGACATAATAGATAGGTATAATTATTATTTTTTTATTCCTTTTTAACGAATCTTTTCTAATTAGCTTTTCTATAGTACGTGCTACTTCATTGTGTTCTCTATGTAACGAGTTATTTAGTAGAAAGAGTAAATTCAGTTAAATTACAAGTTACTTTAAAAATAATAATATAGTTTTGACTTAGGTTAAGTTAACAACTAGTCAAAAAAGTATTTTTATTGTCCATATAAAAGATAAATTTGTTTTTGGAGAAAAAATATAAATTAATATAACAAATAACTAATGACAAATATTAAGTATTATCTTTTAGCTTCGATGCAAAGCTGAGAAGGTATTAATTTTACTATGATGTGTTTTTTTTTTTTTTTTATGTCGTTGCCACTTTTTCTCAGCTCTCACTGGACCGATTTCTTTCAAAAATACGTCAAAANTTTTTTTTTTTTTTTATGTCTGTTGCCACTTTTTCTCAGCTCTCACTGGACCGATTTCTTTCAAAAATACGTCAAAAGATCAAAAATCGTATCTAGTTGGAGACATTACCCTTAAAAATTGAAAATTTTTCCCTCGTTCCCCGAAAATGGGGGAAATATCCAAAAAAATTACAAATTTAAAAATCGGTAAATTTTGTCATTTTTTTCACTTCTTTTTCTTAAAACTTCCATAACTTTTTCAAAAATCAAGAAATCAACATAATTTTTTTTATACTAAAACCTTAGACATTTACCTTTTATTTGATATCATTTTTTTTGAAAATCTAACACTTAACCTGCTCATTGGGGGGGATTTAAAATAGCAACTTTTTTACAAAAATTAACTTTTTCAACTTAACTTGTGAAAATGTTCAGGAAATACTGCGGCCTTCAAACATATATCAAATCAAAGGTTATTTTATGTACTATCAAATGAAAAAAAATAAATTTGTCCCGACACCTTATCTTCTATGCGAAAATGGCTACCGTATTCAAAAATATCCTATTTTAACAAATTTTTCTTTTTTAAATTAAACACTATTTACAGATTTGCATCGAAGCGTTTTTTATGATAGTGATTTTAATCACTGTCAGATATCATCTATACTGGACCCAATTATGCCACGACCCCACTTTGCTAAAGGTTTTTAAATTATTTTTACAATATCGAATTACTGTTTTTTTTTTCTTAATAAAATATATAGAGGGATTTTTTTTATATTATTTACTTAATTTATCTTACAATAATAATTATGTTAAAAAAATTCTTTAATTTTTTTTTAATTCCCTATAATTCTTGATTTATTAATTATTTTAATTATTAATTATAATAATTTATCACTTTTTATACCTCATTTTTTTAAAAATGTGTTTAATTGATTTCGATGTAGACACCTTTTTTTCATGTGTATGAATACGTTGACTAAAATAATGAAATAAATAATAAAGTTTACATTATTATTTACCTAAAATAATATTCTTAAATAAAAAATGATGGTGTTTTTTTTTATACATTAACCTATTTAACGAGCAATTCGTCAATAGTTATTCAGAATATAACAATTATAACATAAGTAAAAAGAAGACGAATAAAAATGAAGGTGAGTAATACACTTTATGTGAATTATTCAATTAAAATCTAAAATTTTATTTTTTTCTAGCATTGGCAATTAATACATTTTTTGTTAATGACTTCCTTTTTCATATTTAATGGAGGTAAATTTGATTTTACATTATTTATATTTATTAAGTTAATCAAATATATTTTATACTTGATATCAAATATCTGAAACCTTTTTAAAATAATTTTATTAAGTAAGCATTTATTTAAAAAAATAAAGCCCCATAAGGCTTTATATTACTAACATACTAATTGTATAAAACAAAACAGCCATTATTTATTTATTAATTTATGTGAATTTTACACTAAACATGAGTGGTACACAGAGTATAGCGAGTTTTCAAAAAAATAATGAAATACACAAATTTAAAAGAAGGTATAATATACATAATAATGTTTATATAAATAAAAATACCTCTTTAATTTAACATACTATTTTTTTAAATCGGACCATTTCCCTTAATACAGGGGGGGTTCAAAACATAAAAATGCATATAGAAAGTAGAACTTTTTCAACTCAATTTTTGAAAATGTTCCGGAAAGTCTGATACTTTTATATATATCTTAAATTAAAGATAATGTTATATACTATATTATAAAAAAAAAAAATGTTGGTCTTTATTTTGTTTTCATGGTAAAAACAATCATGAAAGTTAATAAAAAAAATACGACTTTTGTAAAAAATTTTTATATTTTTAATTTTTAATTTAAAGTGTTCTGGAAATACTGACAATATAACATATTTTTTAAATGAAAGCCTATATAATATACTTAATTATGAAAAAAAAAAATTTCGGACTTTAATTTTTCTTCACGGTGAAAATGGCTACCAAATGCTATTATTGTATGAAAATTCTCAATTTTATATTTTACATTTTTAACTTTATTATGCTAAAACTTATTGAAAAATGTATGGATTATTATAATTTTTTTAAGAAAAATAATATTTATATACTTCTATCATTCGACATACTTTTTTTTTGAATCGGACCAGTTCCCTTTATGCAGGAGGGTTCAAAACTTAAAAATGCATATAGAAAGTAGAACTTTTTCAACTTAATTTTTTTAAAGTGTTCCGGAAAGTCTGTTACTTTTATATATATCTTAAATTAAATCTTATGTAATATACTTAAATATAAAAATAAAAATTTTGGACTTAATGTTGTCTTCATGGTGAAATGAATTACATCTAATTACATCTAAATTAATACAATTAATTTAAATTTAGTACAAAGTGCTAAATTATAATATAATATATATTTTATTACTTACTATTAATATTTATTGACTAGTAATAAAAATAGCAGCACCAACTCCTCGCTGCAATACATTACTTTAAATTGTAAATAACTTATGAAATAGACAATGAAAAAAAGAAAAATTAGAGGGTCTCATAGCTTAAAATTACTTTTTTTTGCTTCATTTCAACAGAGGGTGATCCTAGTACAGATTGATCGGTTTAACATAAACACTAAAATATTCGAAAAACATAAGAAAAAAAAAATTTTGTTTTCTTTTATTATATATTATTTACTTTTTATGATCATCCTTTATTGTTAATTACTTCTGAAATACTTTGAAAAACTTTTTACCTACCAGTAATTTTCTTAATTAGATTATTTTACCTTCGATGTAAAACGAGAAGATATTAACTATACCATGATGTATTTTTTATTTTTTGGTGTCTGTTACCACTCATTCTCAGCTATCACTGGACCGATTTTGATGAACAATTCGTCAAAAGATCACAAATTGTATCAAACTGAAGACATTACCCTCAAAAGTTGAAAGTTCATTAACATGAATAAGAAATTTCTTCTCACGAGGGGGACTGCAGTGATGGGATCCTCGATAATTATTGAAGTTATTGGATTCTTTAGATTATTTAGATTTAAATGAGATAAAAATCAAATGATTTGAAAATTTTTTTCTAACTCCAAAAAAATGCAAAATATTTATTGCCACAGGCGGATTCGAAACCCTTACCCTAAGCGTGAAAGACACAAGTGTTACCGATTCGGCAACTATTCGTAGCTTTCGTCACATTATATTATATTATACATATATAAAATACTCAACATTAGTAGCCTGTGAGGTCGCTCCCATTGGAGTCGCCTGCTATTGAAAATTTATATTTAATTTTATTACATAATATTAACAATAATATTAATAATAGATAATGGTATAGAAGTTTGTACAATAATTAGGAGTTTTAATTACGTAACGTCAACAAGATTAAATAAATTATAAAGATAATAGGTCTCTACATCATTCTCTCTTAAGACGCCTTACTGGATTGCCAGGCAAGGCGTTTGCGCTCAGCATTTGAATTAGTCTGTAGGGGATGGATTCAAGTTTCACCCAGAATCTTTTATAATATAATCTTGCCATTTCTTTAATTGTGTTGAGATGGATTATACCGATTTCCTAGGAAGATTTTTTATTATTTTATTGGTTATTAGATCATTTCCAGGTGATTTTCCGTTCACAAGTTTTTTTATAATAGTATAAACTTCATTAGGAGTAGTTGGTTTGGCTGGTAAAGATAAAGG